TAAGCATAGTTGAGGGTGAAATCTTTTTCCCTGTGAAAATATTCCATCTTTACACCAACTTAATATACTCAAATTCTAATTCTTAAAAAAAGTTAAGAGTAAAAAATATGCTTTTCATGGGGCTTCTGAACATCACCTCATTTACCACATAAAATTGAAAGTAGTTCAATTTCTCATCATCCAGAGGTAGAATTTTTGTTACTCATGTTAATTTTTTAAATTTCATTTTTAAGATGATGTAGTTGTCTTTTTAAAAAATAGTTGTATGACTGTCAACATATTCTTTTTCTAGTAATATGTAATAAAATTTAAAAGTATGATCTGTATTTTGAACTTAGCTTTTTCACATTGCACTTTGATGTTTTCAAAAAATTACACTTCCCCTCTCTTCTTCAGACTTCCACATAAATAATGGTGGTAATAATATTGTCTATACCATATTTGCTATGAATTCTAAGTGAGTTAAACTATGCACTGTCTTAGGACGTTGTACTTTGCAAGCATTATAAAGAATTAGTTTTATTTTTTAATTCAATTTAATCTTTTTGAGACAGGGTCTTGTTGTGTAGTTCAGTCTAGCCTTGAAGACACTGTGTATCCCAGGCTGGCCTCGAACTCATAGATCCTCCTGCCTCAGTCTCCTGAGGGCTTGGATTATAGGCCTGCACCACCACACTGGGCCTAGGAAATAGTTTCAATACTGTTATTGATTTCCAGTTTCTTTGGAAAAGTAAACCTAGTTTAACCAATTTCTTGATTTTATCTATATTTTACACTATATAAATTATAAGTACCACTAAAAATAGTAGTTTTAGATAATCTTCACAAAATACTAATCATGACAGCAACAGTGTATACCAAAATGTATTGAATATTTTGTAAAAGACTGTCATTATGTACAATAAACCTATGAAGCAGAGCCCATAAATACTATGAGTTTTATATCAAGTAAATGAGTTAAATAATGAGTAAAAAGGGTTAAATAACATAAAATTTAGTTTATGAAATCAAATTTTGATAGCAAAGATAAGACAATACACTTTGAATAATAGGAATTTTTAAGTAATATGTATTATCAGAAGCATTCTTCAATATTATCAAGATAGCTTTCATAATTACATCCTATGTTACAAAATATGCCCATCATCCTCACTTTAGATTATCTGTGTCCATACTATGTACATTGATGAATTTCATTGTGTCATATTTTAAAGTATAAACATTTCTTAAGCCCCAAATTAGAGGGCTTTCCTTTCCTTTTTAATTAATCTTAAAGACAAGATATTGTAGTCTTGTCAGAGTCATTCAGTAAGACTGCACTCTTTAAAGCTTTCCAGGTAGAAGTCTGAAAGAATATTTTGACTCTTTCATGACACAACAGAAGCCATTCAATGGAGAAATTACATAGGAAAGACTCTGGTTGTTAGTTTTTCATAATCTTGGATTTGCATTTTAACTCCCCAATTTTTAATCTCTGTACTCTGAACAGGATCTTCAAAAATTTATCCATGTGTCAAAACTTAGAAGGTAATATATTAGATTAAATAAGCTAAAATGTATGTATTATGCTGTTTCCTAGTTAATTTACTAAGTTATTTTAGTCTTCAATAAATATCAGGGATAAAGTTACTAAGTCATTATTCTGGGGCCAGAATTTGTGATAGAATTTGGATAGACACATCCTCAAAGTAATACTCTTTTTGATGCTGTCAGAAAAAATTATTCTTTATTCTTTTCTTTCTTATCACCAGCAAGTAATTGCAAGGTGCATCCTAGCTTTCTGTAATCCATCTCTCGAGTCTACTTCCTTAAATGTCTTTCTAATTTTCATTTATCAAAATTGCTCTCCCCTTCAATCTCCTTTTCATTTATAATTTTTAAGAGGAAGCTAGAAAGATTCATTTTAGAAGAACCATTCAAATAAGTAGAATCTTAGACTGACAATAAAATAGAATCCAGACAATAAAAGAGAATCAGACAATAAAATTTTCTTTATATTGATATGGTACAAAAAATTTATTTGTATGTAGAGAAAAAAAATAAAATTATTAGTGAAGCTTTTTTTTTTTTCTTTTCTGTGAACTAACCTTGGTAAGATGGTTAACTAAATCTGTGAGGCCCTACTAGGATACAGTATCAGTTTTAATGGTTGCTCTTAGTCTGGCAGTGGGTTTCAGGGGTGAACTTTTGTGTTGTGCCCTGTCACTGCTTGGACAGCTAAACATCAAAACCTCAATTATTCATCCTTGAATCGGCTTGTTGTTAGAACTCTCAGGATTTCCTATGAAAATAAAGGTATTTTTTCATTCAGGAAGGCTAATTAAAAAATAAGTACTATTTATTGAAGAAACAAAACTGATAATTATCATTTATACTTTTATGTTTTTAACAGGTAACCCATTATTAACCAGCAAAGTCAACATACTCATTAATGTTCTAGATGTCAATGAATTTCCTCCAGAAATATCTGTACCATATGAGACAGCTGTGTGTGAAAATGCCAAACCAGGACAGGTATCTTGCTAAAATTGTTAATTAAAGTATGTAAAGATTCATCTTGTGTGTGTGTTTGTATTAACTTGTAAATCCAGACTCAAGCACATCTGCATATACTGTATTTATTTTTCTGGAGCAGATGTCTCTATAAAATAAGCCACATAAAATATTAAACTCATGATATGTAATGACAGATGCACGCATGTTTAGAGCAGGAAATCTTGGTTGCCTAATCAAAGTCCTTTGGATCATTAGAGATCTAGAATTGTTGATTCTGTGGACTTTTCCTACTCTATGATCATGGAATTTCTGAAGAACTTGAGACTATAAACCCAGGAAGCAGAACTTCAGGTCTTTTCCCATGGCTTTTTCCCACTTTGCTCACCTACTTTCACAAAGTGTACAATGAAGCTCTAAGACTATTAAGGAGAGAGGTGAAGCTTTTCTTGTATTAAGAACACCTGGATTATTTAAAATACCTGACAGGAATTATGTTCATTAAATCATTTTTGCTCTGTTTTAGTGTGGAGATGTTATGAAGGAGGACCACGCTGTTAATAAACGTGATGGTCAAAGTCCAAGGTTTTCTGTAGAGTCACGTTGGCTAGCCAGTTTACTTCTACACAACTATGAAAAGATGAAGGAATAGCATTTAGAATCAAACGTGTATAGAGAAGAGTAATCATAAAACAGAAATATGATTGATCTAATACTTTGTACCTAAATTCTAATAAGAAAATGTATCCATGTGCTTTTTTTTTTTGGTGGGGGGGCAGGTAATTGAACGCAGATCCTTGCATTTGTGAGGCAGGCAGCAGAACCACTGAGCTAAAACCCCAGCTCCCATGTGCTTCTGATTATTTTATATTTCAAGAACTTTTAAGTAGCATAACCACTTATTTGAATAAATGTGAGAAGTATTAATTCTTAGTTGAAATAAATATTAATATTTTAAATTATATTTTTGTTATAAAGGGCATTCTCTGAACTCCCTTTCTTTTTTTTTTTCTAGCTTGTATTCTTACCTCTCCCTAGCAGAACATTCAGTCCAAAACTTTACATTTGTGATATCTACTATCTATATAGCTGTTTAAATAAAAGTTACAAAACTTAAAACCAGTGTTATCATTCATACAAGTTGCATTTACAGTGCTCAATAAATGTACTGGTTGAGAGGATGACATTTTGTGACTACAGATAGATATTATTTTTATAAATGTAGAAACTTCCAGTCTAGTCTAGTCATTCATTTTCTATTTAGGGAAATTATTAATATTATTACATTATAACTTATTTAATAATGCTTTCTCAAATTAGACATCTGCATCTTTAGTTTTGAATAGGCACAGAAATGCACCTAAATATCACATAACGTGTCACCAAAATTTTCATAGGATGAACCTACTACTTCCTTCAGTGTATGAAATAGTAGATGCTACATAAGTACCCCCCCCCAATTAACTGATTTGTTATTTGGGAATTTAGAAAATATTTGTCAAAACCAATATTTAGCTCTTTTCCACTTTCCAAATGCCCTAGGGATGGACCTGATTTTGTTATATGTGGACAAGGTAATTAAGAATCTATGGAACCCTTAGGGACTCTATTTTAACAAATATCTTTTGAGTGTTGTGTGTCCCAGTAGGCAACACTTGTGCATGAAGTGTAATCCTGAAATGGCCTTTGGGATGGACATTTTCAGCTTTTGTCTCATCATTCCTCTGGGATCAGAACTATGCATAGGAATTATCTATTTCTTAGAGATGATTCTTGAATGTGCATATATGTGTCTATCAGAAAAGGAGAGAAAGAATAGGAAGACAGATGGTGCTATGTAAATCTGGGGAGATTTGTACAGGAGAATTTTTTCTCAGGGCACTGACTTTCAAGTAATACTTCCAGTTAAGTTCTAGTCTCGATGCTTTATGAAATAAAAGTCTTCTTAATCTTAAAGTTATAGCTTTCATGAGTTTTGATGTTAAATACTGCTTGATAGTAATACCAAGAAAACAAAACAAAATTGGACAATCAGATATTGATTCCTAAATAACGTATAGAAACTGTATGAGTGCAATGTGATCTGAGAAAAATGGTCTATGTGAAAAAAAGTTGAAGTCTTACTGGGTCTACATAATGTCTTTTTGATTAAATTGTCACATTTCATGATGTTGTCTTTAATGCTGAAATGTGACAGTCTAACCATTGACAATTTCATAGGATAAATAAGTTCTGTGTAACTAATTCATAATAAGATGAGGAATTGAAATTCATAGTTAAGGACCAATTAATTTTTGATTCTCAATAATAATACACTGACGCTCAATTTCCCAATGACATCTGTCTATCACATTTGTCTATGGATCATTTATATACCCTTGCATGTGCACAGCTACATGGGGATGTAGATCGTAGTCATAACACTGGATTACAACTAGGGATCAAAACAAAATAATTAGTGGATCAAGTTTAATGGCATCAATTCAAGATCATATCATGTGTAATTCATGCACTGGGGCCAGGATGCCATACTTGAAATCTGTCTTCCTTTAGAAAATTCTAATTTATTCCAAGAACCTAATCCTCTGGATAGCACATATCCTTTCCTTTTTCCTTATAAACTTTCAGAAATGCTGTCTGACCCAAAGATATTGAATATTTTAACTTAATAATGTCTAGGCACTCAAGAGGATTGTAGGTCAGCTTGGACTATCGAGAGAAACTCTGTCTCAAAAAGCAAAAAGACAAAATAACATAAATCCATTAGTGTGCTTATCTGTGTAGAGAATTATCAATTTTATAGTCTGGCTTTCAAACTTAATTTGTTACTAAATTGTTATGAGCATCATCGTGAAGTACCCAGATTTTAAATACAAACATACACAATGTATGGGATCAAGTTAGGAAATCTTTTGAAATAAAGACAAAAGTTTTTATTCTTGTAAAAGCTATGAAAACAATTTTTCTTCTCAGTATATGGGAGAAAATTAACACAAAAACAAAATGACATATTTTTATGGTTTTCTTTCTCAATGCTTTATTTATGAAAATAAAACTCATCCTCACAAACACAACTGTTGTAAAATTTTGCTATTGCAAGTGCTTTTAGATAATCAGATATTTTGTTTCCAGTAAATGTTTTCATTTTTAGGGTAGAAAGCATTTATTTTGTCCGATTTTAAATGCAAGCAAGTGCATTTTAATTTTATTTTGCTTATTAGTGAGAATTTGTAATGCTGGTAAGCTTTTTTGTTACGCAAACATTGATTTAAAATTACCTTGTGTCCTATAATTGTACCTGCCTTTATTACCAGTGAATGTTTAAAGAATTGTTTATAAAATTTAAGGGTAAATAATTGGCTCGCTGATATTGATTCAAAAGGCTTATTTCTGTCTACTTGCATGCTTCGTTAAATAAATTTATTACCCCATTGTGTAAGTTCCCTTTGATACCGATGACTGACTCCAAGTTAAATCTCAACACTGTTTCAGATAATTCAGATAATCAGTGCTGCAGACCGAGATCTCTCACCTGCTGGGCAGCAATTCTCCTTTAGATTAGCACCTGAGGCTGCCATCAAACCAAATTTTACAGTCCGTGATTTCAAAAGTAAGTATAACACTTAAAATTAACCACTTATCATGTAGTTTTGTCCAGGGATACAAACACGAGAATCAGTGCTATTCCTAAAAGCACTCAATTTCATAAGGTACAGAAAACCCTATATGCAAAACCCAAAAATTTTTAAGCAGTATTTAAAATGTTTAGTCCATATAGACTGTATCTAGTAAAGTAGCAAACTTTTATTGTAATAGTAGACAATCTCTTAATGAGTCAAGAAAAAAAGCTGTATGGGAAATTGAATGACTTCCTTGTTTAAATATACCACTCATGCTACAGGCATGTTACTTGTAAATAGAATTAGCTAACACTATAGAAACATTTTTGTTTGAACAACACACAGTACAGTACAGGAGACGAATGTGAGCACTGCAGTAAGAATGATAAAGGCTTCATTTCATACCACTTAACTGGCAGACTCTTAGCATGTACAGTTATACTAAATAACGTCAACTTCATAGTATTTGTGTTAAAATTATGTATAACATGCTTTAATATAATGCCTAAAATATGCATCGGTCATAATAATTTTAGATACTATTCTGCCAATGAATTTTTTAAATTGTTTTATTGGTACATTTTAGGTATACAATACATTTACATTTATCACTGGGTGCTTGTACCTATACATGATGTATCTTAGTTCTTATTTTTTCCCCATTAGCTGTGCGCCCTTCACCCCCTCTACCCTTAGCTATTTACATAGATTTTGTTTCCATTTTGTTTTCTTTTCTCATGATTTTTCCCTTCTCTTCTTCCCTTTCCCCTTCCCTTCCCACCAATCCTACCCCTTTGGACCTTTTCCTATTTCAAATTATCAGTTATTCACTTTAATCATTTTAATCCTTATTTACACTTTCAGTTTCTCACACTAGAGA